ATCTGTTAGTGTTACCATCGTGGACAATCTGTTAGTGTTACCACCGTGGACAATCTGTTAGTGTTACAATCTTGGACAATCTGTTAGTGTTACCATCGTGGACAATCTGTTAGTGTTACCATCGTGGACAATCTGTTAGTGTTACCATCGTGGACAATCTTAGACGTCACATTCAACTTTCACAATGCATGTACAATAACTGCTATCCAAAAAGATGTTAGTAGAGAGTTCCTTTTATCAAATGTCCTGCAAGGATTTTAAACAATGAGCAGTAATTAAATGGCCAGCAATAGTAATGAAACAAAAGGATTCTGATAAAGTTCACTTTATTTTGTCCTCACTTCTTTTAGTGTATCCAGAACTACTGGACGTCCATTTTTGACATAATGAAGTAAAGATTGGATAAAATCACTAGCTGTTTTAATAGAGAAAAGAATCCATATTTTTCCAGCATCGATTTGAAAACTAACGATTTTAAACAAAACCGATCAGGAATACTTTGTAAAGAATCTTAATCTTGATCAAAACCACTTCCATAATCAAAAGAAATGTAAACTAAAAGCACGATTTCTGCAATAGCATAAGGATATATTTATGATCCATCATCATTAGTATTGAAAGCAGGCTTCGCGAAGATTCATTAGAACGTCCACAGGTGGTTAATCACATTTGACACGTCTACTCTATACTTCATTACATTACATACGGCTTGCGGTGCAGGATAAATAAAAGACGTTTAAAGTAAAATGAATTGTAAGTTGTCGCTATTCAGAATATGAGTTTTAAGTTGACACATATGAATATGTTTGTTGCCAGGCGGAAAGCAGCAGTCATACGACGGCTGGAATGTCCACATGAAATACAGCGGTAGGTTTGCAAGGATCCTTCAGTTTCTTCATTTTAATTGCTGACACCAACTGAATAAAAAGATTTGTTTGTTTGTTGTTTAAAGCCGCACTCAGCAATATTCCAGCTGTATGACGGCGGTCTGTAAATAATCGAGTCTAGACCAGACAATCCAGTGATTGATATTATGAGCATCCATCCACGCAATTGGGATCGATGATATGCATCAACCAAGTCAGCGAGCCTGACCATCCGGTCCCGTTAGTCGCCTCTTACGACAAGCATAGTCGCCTTTTATGGCAAGCATGGGTTGCTGAAGACCTATTCTTCCCCGGATCTTCACGGGTCTGAATTAAAAAAAAAAAAAAACGGATGCTGTGCTAATGTATTGTTTCTATTTTATCAGCATAGTTTATAGTTTTTCAGACATAAATAACATTGTCAGGGTTAACTTCCGTGGAGAAACAAAATCATGAGTCGTGTACGACCTTTTGTAATCAGAATAGTGAGCCGGGTTTAACGCCGCTTTTAACAGTATTCGAGCTAAATTCACGTCGTATCAACATAATGTTGGGGGTAAGCCCGAAGTATTGCAGGTCGTTTAATACCTTGGTGAAACCCACGAGCCGGGTAATGGTGCGAACAAAGCTAGAAACAAATCGGAGCGAACCGGGACGCAACTTTGCGGCGCCTTGGGCTGGGCCACCCTTGCACCGAGTCAGTATAGTGCATATTCAGTTTCCCCGTGGGGTATCCAGGTTAGAATTGAACCCCACCAACCCACAGTGTCACACGAAGCAACACAAAGGATCTGGCGATCAAGCTCGGTGACTTGGCTGATTGTGCCATCATATTACTGCGGACTAGATGCATGACACATGTCGTGTGAAGTCACGTCGCTTTGGAAAGAGCAAGCGATTGACGCATTCACAGTTGAGAGCGCTGTATAAAGCAATGACAAATGTTGACTTTTCTTAAAAGTATTATTTGTAAATGATTACTATGATCGTCCAGTAACATTTTCAACGTTGTTTTTCAGATAATGCAGAGTAATGTTAGAGTCCAACGTCGCCGTCTTTCACACTTGGTCCTCAAAAACGCTGTTGAAGAAGCATCTCATCATATGAAAATAGTTTTTTCAGTAATCCTTACATAGTTTCATGTCATGTATTTATGAAAGGACACTTTTATTTCGTGGTCTATGTTGAACACCTGTTACAATGAAACCGTCCTCTGGTACATGGTAATAAACGCTGTCAGTGTGCTAAAGGAGTTGTTTGTTTTATTCGCCACTAAGTGTGTGTAGAATGACAGGTAGATCAATCTTAACAGAGGAGTCGGGGGACCTCTCCTCTTCATGTGATTGGTTACAATTTCACAAAAAGTCAACATTTTTCCAAATAATTCTTTTTGAAGTGCTGTGTCACACCCATGACACCTGCAAGGAGGGTCTGGTAATCTCGTATCAAAACTGACATATTCGCCCCAAGTTTCTGAAGCTCGTGAAGGTACTTGTCAGAACATACTGTGATTAACATTCATTTACAAAATCAGACCAGACAAAATCTGGCACTTTTAGTGGACAACCATGAGTCAATCCGTCTGGTTGAAATAGCATTCCTTGAATTTTTTCGAATCATTTGCATGTTCCTCGAATTGTTTCATCTAAGTTATGGTTCTGTTTGGCTATAGTTTTGATTATAAAAATGATAATCAGTTCAAATCAGAACGATCTTTTTTCATCTGAAAGCTCGGTTTTAAACATGGACTCAATGTTACATTTAAAAGTATTCTAAAACTTTCCAAGCTGGATTGGTTTGATTCACGGCACATTGACAATTTGGAAAACCCTCCAAGTGCAGGAAAGCTAGATATGAGATGAGTTACTATAGTTAACGACCCGTGAAGATCCGGGGTAGAATAGGTCTTCAGCAACCCATGAAGGCGAATATGCTTGTTGTAAGAGGCGACTAACGGGATCGGGTGGTCAGGCTCGCTGACTTGGTTGATGCATGTCATCGATCCCAATTGCGTGGATCGATGCTCATGATATTAATCACTGGATTGTCTGGTCCAGACTCGATTATTTACAGACCGCCGTCATGTAGCTGGAATATTGCTGAGTGCGGCGTTAAACAACAAACAAACAAACAAATACTACAGTTAACAATAATAGGGTTACTTCACGGTTACCTGTAAATAACTGTCTGGACAAGAAAAATATGTGGCTGATAACATAAGCACCGAGCCACCGTTGCGGATAGATATATTTTTCCTGTATAAATACTGACAGTAAATATAGTTCTCTTGCGGGGACGCGATGACCCAGTTGTCTCAGTGGTGCCAGCATTCGCTGATTAATTTCGCCCTGATTATGACCATTGGTTTGCCAGCACCGTATGGATTCAAGTGGTGAACCTACATGCACATGTTTTATAGAGCCACAATGTTCAAAACAGCCTTACCTACAATGACATGAGCGACAATACAACATTGTACAGTACACCTGTTGCAAGCTATATGAACAGAAGAGAAGACAGGCCCTTTCTACGTACGTTACTATCGAAAGATATAATGTACTCTCACATGCATTCATCTCTCACCAAATTAAAGGACACAACATTTTTGGTCAGATAGTTTAGTGGAGAACACAAACGATAAGGAGCCCTCTCTTAATAGATTAACAATACACACATTTAATCATCCAATTATTCAAAAAGACATACTCAAGGAAGTTAAAGACAAAAGTAGAAGAATATTCTGGAAAACAGCAAAGTCTGTTCCATCAGCGGGCAAAGGTATGGCTTCGGGTTTCAGATATTCCGAAGGAATCCTTCTGGTGAACTATACCCAGCCAAGTCCAGTCATGGTCAATATTTTGCTATTCTACTCAGACAACTTCGAGCAAGGCTACACGATGTGGAAAATTCACAAAAATCGGGGGGGTTACAACAGATTTGGCGCCGCAAGACTTCCCCCTCTTCCGAAGTTTGAAGAAAATAACTATCTGACAAGCAAATGATACAAACGTCATCTCAGTTGTATACCGCCTTGAGGAAACCTACCCTATTGGAATCCAGGCACACCAGCATCGTCGGCAGAAGTGTGTTGACCTCGGAGGTGGTTAAAACGTCCACCAACGCAGTTCATCATGGTTCTGCTTACAAGTTTTCACTCGCCCATTGTAAGACAGAATACACCCAAGGGTCAGTGTCAGAACGGTATTATGGCATCAGGCATTAAGAACCACGACATATTTGCCTCACCGTCGTTTCCTTTTTAAAAGATATCAAGAACAAGGCCCGACTGTATAGGTTAACATATTAGTTTTACTTCGGTGTACAATTATTTTTGCCTTTATCTTTTTATGATTTAGTTTTCGACGGTTGTCATTTTTGTCGTCACAGAGTCCCACTTTATACCATGGTATGAGGCAACGTGTCATTCAATATAAAACCGGGTCTTGGTCTGAAGTCAAACCGGAGACAAGATATTTAAAACCGAGGCCTCATAAACCCTAAAAAGACTGACAACGGACATAAATCTTGCATATGCAATGGAGGTATTTTAAGAAGAGCAGTAGATTACATGTTACCAATATGGACTTCAGAAGAAAGGAATATGTATGTAAATGTGTGTTCAGGGAAACGTGAACAATAAGATGTCACAGGCTACTCATGAATAGAGAAAAGTGAACACAAATGTAATGTTTTGTTTTAATCATGTGGTGTGACTGTTCTGTTCTATATGACATTTGCAAATACTTTAAAGGTGATACATTTACAAACCACATAGCCACACAGTGAAAGTCGAACACGAAACTAAATGACAAGGTATCAATCAAGGAAACTTAATTCAACTGTCATTTTATTTTGTGTAATCTCTAGCAGATAGATAGAAGGCTCAGGCGTTAATATATCCTGGCCCCGATGGAATAAGCTTCCCCAGTGACAATACATCATTGCATCTGTCGCCATAAATAAACCTTTATCAACACATTAACACAGACATATCCATACAAGGAACGCACGTGACTCACAACGTTAATGCGTGTAGTCATGTTTTAGACTTCAAAGTATCTTTCGGATCGTTTGTCATCTTAAAATAGAGCGACTGTCAATCAAAGTGTTTTGTCAATCTTTGGTAAGAAAGCCTACATGTTTGTGCGCCTAGACAGTCAAACCCTCAAGAGTCGGTCCTCTTCCGTCAGAGAAATTCAGCTTAGGATTTCGCTGCAGCAATACTCGGAATCTGGAACTTGAGTGATGAGTTGTTTGAGTTAAATTGAGTGTTGTATGCTGTAGAAATGAGATTTCCTCTGTTGTTGGTGATACCATGCCTGTTGTCCACATGCCGTGGCTTAAACGTTGGCGGTTACTACGTCGGCAACTACGGAACACATCATGAATTTCTGGTATGTATTATGTGGAATTGAAAAGGCCTAGCCTTGCTGTGTAAGCATTCGCTCGTCACACCGAAAATCAGGGTTCGTTTCAACACATTGTACAGTATGTACAAGGTATGATAAGTGACCTTTGTTGCCCAAAATATACAATGTTTGAAATAACCAAAATATTTAGTTATCGGTATTTAAGTTGTAAAATTTGTTCATATGAATGTTTTTCAATACTTTTTTTATTTTCTCGACTCATAACAACCCCATATTAACAGGTCAGACTAACAAGCATTGGAGGTTTCAGGAAGCGTTTCATTAATATTGAGCTTAAAGCAAATCTTGGACCAAAGCTGATTTTCTAAGGAGTTGGTCACAGACTTGCTCATAGTTATATTTTCTGTGGAGATTGGGAAAATCGACCATTTTAAGTTATTGAAGGCATAACCTGAGTACGTGCCCACTTGAGTTTGCTTTAAACCAAAAACGGTCAAGTGAAATAAAAAAAAGTAGCTGTCAGCCATTTGTACAACTGTTTTCAATATTTAAATTGACGTGTGGATTTTGCTTGTGATCAGCTTAGGATATTCGGGAGGACACGCACCTTTGACTCCCATATTTCCACTCTCCGGGTTATTAGTCTTGGTGGACGACAGTCGGTGTCAATAAGGTACCCGTGTTCCTAAAACGCTAGTACAATATGAGTTTTTTTGGTTTTGATGAATGAGGATTAATCTAACAGGATCACGAGGGGAACAAGGTTTTTTTATGCGTCCAGCTTTAGGTTTTATACCATATATATATATATGCATTTGCCGTTTGCCTTTACCAAACAATTTGACGTCCAATATAATGCATGCGTTCGCTCTCAGGACAATCCGATGAACTACATGTATTGGAAAGTTATGAACTATCAACAGGTACGTTATTATATATATCTACATAATATAAGATGGTATCTAGAAACGAAATTACCTTCTTCATACAAACTTGATTTGTCGACTATTGCTCTGTGATCGTTTTATCATTGTATTACGAAATAATTCTCATATTTTGTTGAGCGTAAAATTTATGATGTTTTGAAAAGCAACACCAGTTTTCTATATGGCAGTTTTACTAGCATACATACATGACTTACATTTTCCAAAAATAATCGACGCATGAAGAATGATGTATTATTCCGAGCAAAGGAAACCCGGAACGCACACGTCATACACGTATTCCTACAGATGAACAAGCCTAGTCACTGGGATCTCTCCTGATGTAACCCTAATCATTTCTTAACCTTAATGGTATTGGGTGTGCATAATGGCATTTTGATCATAACCCACGCGGGCGGATTATCTGGAGAGGAACAATCGGAATACTTTTGAATTTCTTGTCAAAACTCAAAATATGATTTATTTCTTCTGAACAATTTCCGCAATAAACTAAATATTAAACCTGACGTTGTGACGGTGTATATGTCCCTACCTGCCACTTGGACTTGTGGATGTAAATGCGAGCAGACTGGCAAAACGTCAGTTACTTACCGGTTAAGAAAAACGACAAGAAGTTTAAGGCAGCTTATTAAATAGTAACCATCTGTTGCAGGATAATGTGATGAAGTACTAGCAAATATGTTTTACCATGTATTCCCATTTAACTTGAATTTCTTGTTTTCATTTCAAATAAAGATATTAATGAATTTCGCAACTAACATATCGCCTTTCTAGATAAAGAATGGTTTTAGTAAAGAGATTAATCGTGAACATATTCACACATACAAGGTTAGATGTCAGTAGAGGTGTTCTTTTGGCGTCAATGGAGGTCACTTGGGCGTCATTTGACGTCACAAGTGTGCCAACTGTTAGCAATAGAGAGATGCATGATATTACATGTCTAACTTCAATCGGCTATTCAAATCAGTTGGGTAAATGCTCGGGCAGCCACAAGGACATCAAAGGAGCCCTTTACAAAATATGAGGTAGTTGTATAAACGGTAAATTCAGATGATTTCTGAGATATTGATTCTATTTCGTTGTAACAAGCAGTCTGTTGTAGACAGGATTCCAATAGTCCAACGAAATATGAAAAAGATGTATTATACAAAGAACATACATACAGACAGACAGACTCTATCACGCGCACACGCACATACACGTATACACACTTTCATCCTTCCCGAGGGTAGGACTGAAACATGTGTGGAATTACGAGACTTCACTAGGTGGGCTCTTGTGTGTATTCAGACGAGTATACGTATAAGTTGCTGTTTTTGCCCTATATTTCTTCAAAAAACATAAAAAAATTAAATTAGGTTAAATATAAAAAAGCGAACACTTTTGGAAGCGAAACCATTATCTCCGAATACGTAATGGAGAAATCACGAGACACGATCAGAATTCCTGGCTCAGAGTCAACTGTATCAACAAAAGCGTTCCGTCATCCTATTTTTTTAAATCATGTTATACTGTCGTACTGTGAATCATAAACCCAAGTTACACGTTGCTCCAATATAATGAATTGTCTGTTAAGGTGCGTGTCTAGCAGACTGTTCACAAACCGTAACAGAGATTTCAAACCTCATTTTACGGAATGGTTTAGTGTAATAAGTACAGATAAACCGACAAGGCGTTTATTAGAAGTTATCATCAAAAGACACAAGCTGCAGTGACAAGCTGGATTAGTGAGGTGGGGTTAGTTCCCACAAAATTATCCTAGCTTAATTTACCTCACATCCAACTAAAGTGTCCTCAAACAAATAATAACACTCCCAAAAAAGACTTCTGTTGTTGATACAGCTTGTTGAAAAGTTTGTTTGTCTTTAAAGTAAATTGTAAATCTTTTTTAAATGCAATGCTTACAATGCTGATGCAGTTTCATTTGAAAAGACTTCCGGGACTATCAGTCTTAATGACACTTAAAAATCTGGCTTACTCTTTTTAAGTTTGATTGAATGGCTGATCAGCATTCGGATGTGTTTTTTGGGAGACGTGCCTTAGGTTTAAGTGTTCATGTAAATGTGTGATTTACACCAGAATCTGTCAGATATTGTTCGTTAGTGAGTAAGTGAAATGGGTTGCCGGTTATACTGTTACCTGTATTCAGTTGTTTTTAGGCGTTCAATCTTAATGTGGTTGGAACGCATGTCTCAGACATTGAGCACTTTGAAGAAATTGACGAGCATTACAATATGTCTGACAAGGCATTATACAATCTTCAAAAAAATAAACGCACAGGTAGAATTGCAGTACACGTCGATCGAGTTAATCTCAAAGGTGTTTGATTGGGTTAAGATATGGGGATCTCGACGGCCAGGGCGAACCGTTGATGTTGGCATTATGAAGGTAATCTACCGTGACACGAGCGGTGTGCGGTGGAACGTTGTCCTGTTGAAACAACTCCCTATGGCGGTCAATGATTGAAAGAAGGTGAGGTTGAAGAATTTGATCAATGTAGCGAAATGCTGTCAACTTTCCCTGAACCACAACCAAGTCAGATCTCCTGGTGTAGGATACGTCCTTTGGCGATGTTCTTGGCATTTTCGAACTTTAACAATGTTGACAATTGAATGACAAATTGGCTTATGCTTGCCTTTTATAGCCACTACCACGAAGTGTGAAAACAATGCCGTTTAAGACATTGCAAATCGACAATGGCTGCGTTTTGACGCACCATTTGTCGAATATCAGGCGAACAACATTTTCCAATAACATATATCCAATTTATATACCGGATTTTTTTGTGTACTCAGGTTTCAATGAACTACATGCTACCTGTGCTTTTCGTTTTTTGAAGAGTGTAGACTCACGACAACAAGGCGATAAAAAGGATGAGGGTTCAGTTGAGGACACATTAAATCGCGTGTAAACATCTCGAAATCTCTCGTTAGTCCGAAAGAGTCCATTGAATACCAAACTGTTCGTATTAACCAGGGTTCACTGTATTTGGCGTCGTGTGTACTTCGTGGGTTTGTTAACACTATGCTCATAACCACCCTTGAATATATACACCTGCTTTAGGGTGTTGTCGCTATTTTTAACCAACGAATAAAGTAAGGACCTTGTTTCCGCAAGAGGGATGCAATGTGTGCTCCGATCAATGAGCCCAGAAGTCAATGTTTCTCGTTTGACAACGTGTGCATCATCATCATCATCATCAGCAGCAGCAGCAATGATTATCCATTGAATAGAGCTCATTTGACTCTATTATCACGTCTTTAGCTCACTGAAAATAGGCACGCATCACTACCAGAGCGCACAGAGTGTGTATTCACGGTGACGGAGAAGTATAAACACCTGTGAAGTATTTAACAATGTGTACACTGTGATGATTAATGTGGCGCATGTACTCAGTTGTACACATCAAATGTGTGAAAAGTGCAAACTGGAATAAATCATTCATAATCATTCATTTTATCTTCTTTCAAAACTATTACAGGGTTAGACATGCAAATATATCATTAACCCTCTTGGTGCCACGGGACCATATATGGTCTTTCACTTTTCACACCCTCTTAGTGTCACGGGACAATATATGTTCCTGTGAAAATGTCCCTTTTTAACTGTGAATTAAGATGTCAAATACTGAGTGCGCAAAATTAAAATTATAACCATCATCACCCTTATAATCTCAGCTTTAACATCTTGTAACTCGCGAAATATGGCGAGATTAGTAAAGTGGTTACCGCGCTTCTCGACATTGTTCTGCCTTGTTGAACTTCATGCGAATGACGGCGTTTTTTATGATGCACGCAGGTCACATCCACGTAGCTATTATAATATTTAATTTGAAAAAGAAATGTATTAGACTGGTTAGAAAGATTTACTTTAGCTCACTGTACAGCTATTGGCGTGAGACTAGCGACGTTTAGTACGCAACGGAAGTTTTTTGTTCAAGTGTTGCATGTTTTTATCGCTTTTGTGTCATGGCGATTTAGCACGGCGCTTGAGACGAAACGACATGTTTACAGAAAATATACAAATCTAGCTATGATCGTTAATATTAAGGTGGTATAGCGTGTATATTAATGGGCAGGA